TGAGCCACCCTGTCTATTCCTCTTCAACAAACAGAAGGGATCGAAGATAAAACTATCTGAGCCCCAAAGTTCTTGACTTTCTTTCCTAAAGCTTCAAAGTCTGATGTGATTTCCTCAAAACTTCACTTGGCAGTGTCATTTGTTTCCACATGCATGAGGAGGAAGGGATACCTGTCAGTGGGCTGTATGAGCCTTGGCAATATTTGTGTTACATCTCTAATCTGTGCTCCAGAGAGACAGCATACCTGGTGAGTCAGTGGGTATGTCTTCCTTCCCACATGTGTTTCCATCCCATGCAACAGGGAGTTTCTGACAACTAACACTGTTCTCTTCTTGTTCTTGCTGGCCTTGGTATCATTGTTACTAATTGGTTGTGATGCATGGTATGACTTGTAGTTCTTCCACAGCAGGCTGCGCTCCAGTCTCATCCTCAAATAACTGAAATTGGTTCAAGAGTTCCACTGCTGTGGACTCATTAATCTAACCAAGCAAAGAGATTCAGTTTTGCAACATGGGGACCAGATGTCACACTGACTACAGATGCATCACACCTGGGATCCAGAGCACACTGCAGAACTAGAAAATCCCATGGGCTGCGGATATCTCAGGACAGAGGAGCACATAAGCTTCCTTGAGCTCCATGTGGTCCAGAAAGCTCTGGTTGCCTTTCAGGCACACCTCCAGAATAGGAATGTTCAGATTGTCACTGACAACACCACTGTGGTCTTCTACCTGAACAAACAGGAAGACACTGCTCCACATTACTGGCACACCTTAACATTAAGATACGGGATTGGTGTTTTGGGAGGGGCATTACCTTCATTGCTATTTATCAACCCCACAGCAGACGCACTGAGGAGAATTAAGGGGACCAACAAATGGGAGCTGGATCCTGCTATCATCATAGAGCTCTTCCAGGCCAGGAACACAGACTCAGTCAACCTCTTCACCACTCTGAGCATGACAGTGTGCAACAGCTTCTGTTCTTAAGCCAGGATTGGCCCAGGCTCAATGGGATAAGCATTCCTCCTTCAGTGGAGCAAGATACTGTTTTAGCTATTTCCACTATTACTAGTTATTACCAGGGTGCTGGCAAAAATTCAGAGAGATGGGACCACATGCATCCTGATCACCCTGTGGTGGCCCCAACAGACATGGTTTGCACAGCTCCTTTGCCTGAACAACAGGAATGACATGCAGTTCTGGACACTGGCGTTCTACCAGTCCCATACTAAGTCCTTATGCTGGTCACAGAGACTATTTGTATGTTACAAAGAAAGGTCCACAGGCAAGCTAGTTAGCACTCAACAGTTCATGGATTGTGTGGTTGAGACCATCATGTTGCCTTACCAGCTCTCTGAACTTCAGTTTTCTGAGTGTTCCAAAGTGCAGTTTGGGGTGCTGACAACTCTACAGCACTGCATGCTGACATCCCTCTATAGGACCTCTGCAGAGTGGTGAAATCATGCATGCTGTTGACCTTTGTCCAGCACTACCAGCTCAATGTCCACACCAGGCAAGACTGCTCCTTCAACAGACCTCCACTGATGCCCACCTCCATCTCAAGGTGAGCTCTCTAGTGTTGCACAGATACGTGTGATGCACAGGGTCTATGAAGAAGAAAGATATTTTGCTTACTGTAACTATCATTCTTTGAGTGGTCATCTGTGAATTCACACAACCCACCCACTGACCCCACATTGGTGCCAGACAGCCTCGGTACCATGACTTCCCTATGTTCCCATATCTATTTGGGATGGGTTAGGTATTTGCTAGCGTCCCTCAGTTCTTACAATGTTTGTCTCAAGGGAACTGGGAAAAGGGGTACGAATCTCTCCTAGACATACCAGAGGCAGAAGAGGTTCCCACCAGAATGAGTCTAGCTTGGAAATCTGGACAACAGGCCCCATGCAGGCACAGAACCCATATGTGTGAATGTGCAGATGACCACTTGAAGAACAATAGTTGCAGGTAAGCAACCTGACATTTTACACAGTTGAGCAGTGGGGGATGGGAGAGTGTCTGCAGGGTCTCATTGATCAGCGAAAAAGGCAGAGGCTTCAAATAACGATAGATTTTTCTTGCAACAACACAGCTGAAGCTCCTTGGTCAGAGGGGAAAGGCAGATAACAGTTTCCCTAAGCTTTATAGCAATTTTCATCAGTATTATGGCAGAAGGAAGAACTGAATCCCCCCACCCCAACACACACACACACACACACAAGGAAGCTGAACAATAGGAAAATAGGCGAACAATAGGAAAAGAAGGCAAGAGGAGAACCACAAGTGGCATCCAGTTGGAAGTCAAGCATAACATGCAAAATCCCAACATCAGTAAAGAAAAACTGGGAACAATATATATTAGGATAGCTAGGATTTAAACTACATTCAGTAACAGAGAGGGTGGGGAAATGGTCAAGCATCTGGAAGTTAGAATATCAGACTTGACTGAGAAACTGAAAGATGTGTCTAAAATGGCATTTCGAACTGTAATCCTTAAGAAAGCCAATATGGATTTATTAGATCAGGTAAAGGATTTGGAAAAGCAAAGTCACCAAATGAATCAGAACACTTGTGGTGTCAAAGAATCGAATAAAGGATGGGAAGGATGGGAACACTTGTGACAGTTGAAACACTCTGTGCCTTTCCCAGATCTTTTATTTCTCCTTCAGTCATAGACCTGGCATGTGGAGCCCTGACAACAAATCACAAAATGGAGGCAGATCTAGGGACAACTTTATCCACTTCCATTTATGCAGCCTAGAAACTTAATGTCACAGAATTAAGGGTGATATGCTCTTGTTTTTTCCAGTATTTCTATTCAAGAACAGTAGGAAGAAAAGTATTTCTATCTTTTATGGGACTGTTACTGAGGACTAGGTATTTCCTATTGATGGGTCTTTCCATTTAAAATAATGCAGGATGGCACAACACACATTGTCATCCCCAACAGGGAAGTGAAAAGGCTACTAATCCACTTCAGCTGTAACTATGGAGAAACATGTGCAGGGACTGGATCTAGATCTGGTAATAAATGGAATTGAAATACAAGAAAGTAAAAATGGTTTCAGTCCCAAAGATGAACACTCTGAAAATAGAAGCTCACTTCAGTGCAGGTGAGATACGTTTTACAGCCTGAATGGAAGAAAGAGAAGCCTCTCAATGCAACCCACTATACAGTAAGATGAATGAAAAGAGAATGTTAAAGTAATTAAGATGCTAGAGCTGTGTTAATTAATACCCAAAGACTGATATCTACAAGCACAAAATAAATAAATGCTGCTGGGAAGAGAAGGAAAGAAAAGGGAGCACGGGTTATTGATTTAGTCCTGCCTGGGCTAGGAAACTAAATACCCAAGCATAGGGAGTCCAGCAGTAGGTTCCTAATCCTACTAAACTGGCTTCTTGTGGATATTATAATTAAACATTCAATTCTGTTTGATGTGGGGAAAATAAAAATAAAAAAAGATGAAAAGGACACTGAGAAGGAAGGCAACACCTGTTTATGACAATAGCTGACATAAAGATAATGTTCCTTAGACACTCCAAGCAAAAGTAATGTGGAGGAAAATAACTTTCCAAGCCTTAACATGAAATTGATGTAAATGCTAGACACTGAAAATTTACAATATCACTGCACTATGAATTTTTTAAAAAATGCTATGGATTTCAAAATAAAAAGTCCTGACTCCTAGCACAGAGACTTTGCAGGGAGGGAGAGAAATACAAATAAAAAGTACTGCATTAAAGGGGCAATCTTTTGCTAGTTTATGCAGAAAAAAAGTCTTAGAATTCCCATCATGCCCCAGTTACCACAGCTGGGAGTTCTAGGCCTTTATTTCTTTCTAAACCTTCAAAGGATTATGCTCTAATTGTAGAGGGAAAACTTTTTACAAAACCAAATTTCTGTCCAAAGAATTTTTTTTCTATTTTTGCATTCTGCTCTTCATGAAAATTCAGTTCAGAACACATCCAATGCTATCTACAGAAGAAAAAAGGTCAACTTAATACAGATCATCAAAACAATTTAAAACAATGTATCACCTCTGGAAAATATAAAAAGAAAAGTGAACAATCTATAAATGCACACACTTTTTATGAGAAACTTAGCAGAAAGGCTAATTATGCGACACCAAATTACATCCCACCAGGTCATTTAGTATTCATTAAAAACAGAAAAAAATTAATCCCTATCAGAAGAATCTAAAATATAATACATTTTATTATGTACTATATTATAGGAAAAAAAGAACACATTCTGGGAAGTGTTTCATTAATTGGAATGGCCCTTTTAACTATTTTAAAATAATTAATTTGGGAGAAAATTTTAGCAGAAATATCAGTCAGTTATGTAGTTTAAATTCAAAATAAATTGATCATAACAGGGATATCATTGATATCCCCTGTCCCCATTATTAGTTCTTTATCAATTGAACCTTTATGTCATTTGCCCTCCTAATTCACCCTTAAATTAAGCTGCTTTCACTGGGCAGCTTTCTCCACAAGCTAGATTTGTGTCTTCAAGCCAGATTTTTATTGTCATACCTCTCATTCATGAGACAAGCACTGATCGATATTTACACTGTTCTGCGATTATTATTTGGTCCTTGAGGATCTTAGTGTATAATTTTCTAGCTCTATTTAATCGTGCTAGTTATATATGCTGTAATGAGAAGGCTACACTGTTGTGATTATATTGTTTGGAAATTTGTAAATTTTGTTAATGTTTATTATCTTGCTGCCAAGATTGATGCCCAAGGGACTGTACAGAAAAACAATTAAAATTGAATATTTATTCATTTATCTATTTACAACCCCACAGCAGAAGCTCTTTGGGAAGTTAAACAACTTTAGAATAATTTTAAAGAATCAGTTTTGATATTGAAACATTTTTGTCTCACAAAGTAAGTACAGCTGGTTAAATCTAACTATTAAGCAAGGCTTATGCAAAGCAAGGCATAATAAATATTATTCCTGCTTTCTTTCCCTGTTTGTTCTAGGTGGAATCCATAGACAGAATGCAGTTGTGCAAGTAAGTGGAGGAAACCTTTATGAACAAAGTTCAAAGCAAACGAATTCTGACTTGAACCCTGATGAAGTTAAGAAAAAAACTTTCAGAAATGAACTCCCTGTGAATTGCATAATAGATGTTGATGGAGTTGCAACAGAAGATGGTCTTGTATCATCTTGTAATGAATCAGAGGAAAACCTCAGTTTTGAAGGCTATGTATCAGAGCTGAAATCTTGCCAGGGCAGGATGAGAACAGGAGTTTATGGGACATCAGATCTTCCATTTCTCATTGCACTGAAGAGTGAGAAAAAGAAGGATGATGAGAAACAATGCAAAGCAACTTTTGTTTGAAGTAGCTGTGTGCAGGGTTTTCAAGTTTTTTCCTCGCAGGTCATTACAAGGACTAATTCACATGATGGAGCAATCCCATCAAGATGCTAAGAGATTTTAACTTTTGCTGCATATTGCTTTTGGACTGCAAGTACAAACTACACAACCCACTTTTATTGGGAGAGTGTGAAAGTTGCTGAAAATCCAAGAGGAGAGTCAGTCTTCTGAACAAAATGTCCCTAAATTCATTTGTCAATGCCATTTTTGCATGGATGGCGATGCAAGCATATATTTTATACACTATATGAAACCTTTCCAAGTACCAGCAGTAGAACATTTTTAGTAATACCCCCTTATATGACCATCAGTCAGCCAGAACTGAAGCATTGTTTCTGGTGCCTAATACAAACTTATAACACAGGCTCCCTACCCACATGCATACTTCACTGCCATATCATACATGCATTCTCTTGAATCCTGAAAGAGAAGTGTATGCTTTAACTCTGAAATTACATGTCTCAGAGTATACTGTGACTTACTCTGAAGCTTTTCTACCATGCCCCACCTTTGCTATTTTTGTATAACGTACGTTCCAAACTGGACAAGAGTTCTGCAAAAGTTGCTTACTATTTTATAATATTGTTGGAAGTCCCAATGAAGATATTAACTGGATTCACACAACACTACAAGCAACCCTGTGTGGTTACCGTGGTTCATAATTTCTGACTATGATCTACCTGACAAATGATCAAGTAGTTTCTATGTTCTGTTGTGGTTTCCATCCTTCTTGCTCAGTTCTCCCACTGTCACCATGTATCCCATCAGGCACTGTACTTGAAATTCAGTCCAAAGGTGCATTGCTCCCTGCCTATGTTGCCCGTCTGTTCCTCATCGGTCCACACATACGAGACTGGATGGCTAGAGTGATTCCTGCAGTTGCAATTCTTTCCAGAGGACTCTGTGGTAGTTACATATAAGCATCATGGAAACTATGATCCTGGGTTTAGACAACATGACAAGTTATGGTGGTACAAAAAAGCCATAGCACAAGACATTGTTTCTTATCCTAGTTTCTAAAGAATAAACTTACCATGGTGAAATACCATGCCTGGTCTCAGAGAACACAGCAAACCAACAATGGTAAAAAAAAAACAAACAAACCACCAAGGCTTGTCATGTTATCTGAACTGAGCATTATCTCTTGATGTTTTGATTTTTATTCTTTAATGGTCTAATGCAGTGGCAGGTGTTTTATTTTTTATTTTATTTTTGTTCTTTTAAATTGCAAAATCATTAATTCTCTGTAATGCTTTTAGATCACAAGCACATGAAAGCACATTTATTATTACATTTATAACCTGCCTTTTTTGCTTACTACAAGGCACAGGAATCAGATAGTGTAAGCCATGCTTTTTGTAAGCCTTCTTCTGAATATGATGATGCTAATAAGTACATTACTTGACCATCTCCTGAAAGCATTTGATTGTAGTTATATGATGCTTTTCTTTATCATCTACTTTCATAGACACCGTCTCTATATTAAAATCAGTTTCATCTTGTTTTCCTCAGCTTTTCCCTTCTCACTGTTCTGCAGTGGCAGCACAAGATAACCTGCTGTCCAAGGCATGAGGATGCATATCACTGCTCCTCCCATTGCCACAACTCCCATTCATGCCCCATGCTGCAGTTGTGCCCCCAGCTTCACTCTCTAGCTGTGAGGACTGTCTCCAAGCAAGATAGCAAGCAAGCAGAAAGGCTCTTAGGAGAATGGGAGAAGCCTGCCCACCCAATCATTCTTACTGAGGACCATTTAGGGCAGGGGTCCTCAAACTTTTTAAACAGGACCAGTTCACTGTCCCTCAGACTGTTGAGGGACTGGACTATAGTTGGAAAAAAATATGAACGAATTCCTATGCACACTGCACATTAAAAATTAAAATCAATTTAAAAATCAATTCAAAAAAGTTTGCTCTGCTCCCTCAGGCTGCAGCAGAAACCCAAGATGAGGTAGGGAAGAGCATGTCCATATTCAAGGGACATAGCTACAACACAACCAAGGCACTAAATGTAGTATTTTGCATAATGCAGCTGATGACTGCAACTTGCATTTACAAAGAATGAAGCAAAAATACTAAGGATAAATACTGTTAATGCCACTCGTAGTATTTGAAGCAAGTCAGCCCAGAACAATTCCCACAATATGCAATGGCTGAATTTGAAGCCGCTTACCATATTTTAAGTGCAACCTTGCCAAAACTGGTACTGTCCAGATAAGTTGGACTACAACTTCCATTGGTCATGCTGGTTGGGCATGGTGGAAATTATAGTCCTCACTGCCACCCTGGTTCTGAGGGAGCAGGAGAGGGAGCGCAAGTGGGAGGCCGGAGAGGCGAGTGCAGGGCGGCTCCCCTGGCTGGGAGAGGGCTGTGAAGAGAGAGGTAAGGGCTTCTTCCCGAGGCGAGGGGCAGGGCCACTGCTGGCCGAGCAGGGAGCCTCCCACCTCTCCCCACTGTGGGGGGAAGAAACATGGCTGCTCGATGACAGCAGCTTGCCCATAGAACCCTGTGGCTCCTGCACCTTCGCCGTGGCCTTCTCTGGACAAGCTGCCACTGCCTCACCAAGCCCAAGGGCAGCTGTCAAGTGGCTGCCCCCAGGCTTGGTGAGGCGGCTGCAGCTTGGCCCACAGCCCGCGAACGTGGCTCACATACTTAAAAATGGATTTAAGAAGTTATATTTTTCTTAACTTCAATCCTTTTTTAGCATCTTCCTCCCTCCCTCCCTCCCTCCCTCCCTCCCACCCTCCTCTCTTCTGTTTTCCACTCTGTATTCCTGCTCTGTATATGCTTGTAATGGGATTCGGGGGGCGGGGGGGGGGAGCTGGTGCATGCGCAGTTGAGCTGTTACAATTTAGCACATGTGCTGGCTCTGCTCAGTTTCAGAGAATTGCCTGCGCCGGTTCAGCTTTTGGACTCTCTCAAAAATCTTTTTCTCTGAGTGAGTCCAAAAGCTCTGAGGCAGACCAGATAAATGAGCATGGTGGGCCATATCTGGCCTGTAGGCCATAGTTTGAGAACCCATGCTTTAGAATGTCCAACTTCATGGGCAGCTGCTCCAGGGAGCTCTGCTGGCAGTCACTGAAGCGATTCCTGCAGTGGGCCAGACAGCCATATGGGGCCCTCCTGGTTGGGGTGTGCACTATTCACTCCCTCCAATCACTACCTGAGGCATTCACTCAGCCTCATGACAAGCTGACCCAGTGCTGCATCTGAGCCAGCCTGAAGAAGAGCCTTGAGTTAGACCTAGATTCAGGAACATGCAACTAGGCTACCAGAAGTGGGATTCTCTGTTCCCTTCTCTCCATGGAAACTCCTCCAGTGCTCTGAAAAATGGCACATGTAGGGTATGGAAACCCTGCTGAATAGACTGAGTTGTGCTGCAGGATGGGAGGAAGGATCCCTCAAAATTGGGTAGAGGCACCATTCATGATCACCATTCAAGGCAGATCCTGATCAGAAAAGCCAACTGCTGTCTGTTGGCTTCTTTTAATCTGTTTGGCTTCTTATATGCTTGGTTACCTTGGTTCTTCTGTAGCTTGGCATTACAGTATGATGCATTTGTGTACATACTAATAAATTACTCACATATATTTTGAGTTTGATAGCTTTACTATCCGTCTCCCACTATCCCAGAAATCAAATATGGTTTTTACAAGGTCTGAATAAGTCTGATTATCGTTTCAGAGATAAATTTTGCATTCATTTTAAGACCAAACTAAACTTAACCTTAAAAGTTTATATTTAATGTGCAGGGCTTTTAAAAGTACAAAATGTATCAGCTGGGCATGTTGATAATTACCAGACTGCCACAGGTGAGGAGAGAAATTGTTAATTTCCATGTCATAGTCTTGAGGAAAATCCCTCCTATAAAACTTGTATTTGCTTTGGTATCAATGGGGCTATTCCACTAAAGCAAATAATAGTAGAGAGATGATCTGTATACAAGTAGTCCCTGGGTTACGAACAACCTGTACTTAAGAGCACACAGACTGCCATAAACCCTATATAAATGTTTCCAGCAAAAAGTCATGACTCTCTCTAGGAAATTGCACAACATGTTTGGTGATGTATCAGCAGCAGACTCATAGTTCCCTAGTAATAGTCATGGCTATCTGTAGGGAAGTACATGATGTGTTTGGTGATGTATTTCTCAGTGGCCCTGTAGTTCCACACAGGCCATAGTCACAGAAATCAATTTCCTTAGGCTAAATGTTTTTATTTTCCCCAACAAGCTCTTCAACACCTCAGACAACAGGTTTGTCCCCTCTTCCGCATAAGTTTTGTGCTCCATCAGGAACTAGAACTGGAAGCTCACCGAATGCTCAGCCAGCTCTGCCCTTGTACACGGACTCATTAAAACTACTTTGCCATGGATTCAAATGTTTTGAGTGTAATAAGCAGGCACTGGACTATATTGCCCTAGCAGTCCATTATCAGAGAACTTAAGATTATGAGGGACAGATAAGTTGTTTTTAAAGATCCACATTATTTTCTAATGGGCTCACATTAAAATTAAAAATGGACAGACAATGAAGCTTAAACATAAATCAAACATAAGAGGCAAGTTACAACATTTTTTTCAATACTGTATACCTACACATAGGCAAGCATACATACAAATTCTATCTCTTTAGTTTGTGTAGTTACTTTATTATCACTGTATGATTATCAGTATTACAATGCTGTATTGGATTTAAGATGCTTTAGTGAATATGGAAGCATTTCTTGTTTTATATGCATAGAAAGGTAAAATCAATACCTTTGGCTTACAGCCATTTTGCTTACTCATTTGATCTGTGTTACACAATCAATTTAAGGATGTTCTCAGGAATGGAGCTTGTCCATAACCCAGAAACTATCTGCACAGGCTGGGATTCCTATCTACAGATCCCAAAAGTGGTATCATATCTATGTGCAACAAAAGGATAGGAACCATTTGGTGAATGCTTGCTGAAAGAGTATTTTATAGATGACTGTTAGTCAGAAGTACTGCCTTATTTTGGCTTATTGTGAGCAAGCAGCATGCTGTTGCGTGTAGGCCATGTGTGCCTTCCTTTCTGCAAGTGGAGAAAGCAAACTAGACATTGAAAAGTGTGTGTGATGGCTGAACCGGCATTCCTTGCTTGTTGCTTCAAACAATCCAGGCTTGTAAACAACAACAAACCGTATTTGTTGTTGGTTTGCACATTTTGTATTGGTTACAAGCAACAAACCAGGTTTGTATGTCAGACAAACTCACATTAGATGTCGGGCATTTTCAGTTTTTGTTCATTGAAATTCATTGAGAATAAAGCTATCGGGCTACGTATCCAACATGGCTATGTATTATCTTCAGTCTCAGAGGCAAAATGTTTCTGCAGGCTAGTTGCCTGAGACATGACTAGGAGGGTACTATGCATTAATAGCCTGCCAGTAGGCTGCCTACAGGCATCTGACTGGTCACTTTCCCATCAGAATGCTGGACTAGAGAGGCCTTTTGTTCTTGTACTCTTATGCTCCATTCTTATGCTCCATTTTCAACCGCTGGTCAGTTCGCTGCAATTTCCTGCCAGTCCACGAAAGAGCCGCTGCTGTGTATGTGTGTCTCACCGGCCAGGACCAGGATGGGGCTAGCTGTCATCTTGCTCCCGATTCCCCGCGAGGAGGCTGGGGACGCAATTCAATAAGAGCCAGCTGGGAACAGCACCAAGGGGACCCCAAGACTGGGCCTTTTCCTTTCTCTGGTGTGTTTTCTGCTGGGAAGGGAAATGCTGAGGTGGCCTTGTGCTGAGAGTGTTTTTTCAGCCAGTCTGCACTGGTGCGTATGGGGGTTTGAGGAGGGGGTCATTCTATTTCATAATTTACATTATGAACATTATTTCATCTTCAATATTATTTAGCATTATTATTTAGCATTATGAGGTAACTTCATATGAGTTTGTATTGCTCTGATGCTAAATTGTATTTGAATTTCTATTTCCTAAGAACATAGTATTGTATTTATATTAATTTTGTATTTGGGTATTCTTGAATACCCAAATACAAAATCAATATAAATACAATACTTTGTTCTTTGGGATCTTTGTTCTTTGGGTATTCTTTGGGATCAAGTATTCTTGAAAAGAAGCAACAGCAGATTTTGCACTAGCCTTATTTGAATTAAATATTGCTCTCTAAAATTTTCAGTTGTAGTCAATGACATTTAAATTTAATATTTTATTCTTTTATTAGCATTTTTTACTGCTCAGTTTCTGCTTATTTTGGAGAATTATCATTTTTAGTATCATATTTAAAACTAATACTCAAAGTACTATATTATGTATATAATGCTTTTTATTTTTGCCTCAGTGGTCCCTGAAATAATTTTCCTATTTTTGCTAGTCCCCAACTTTAAACAGGTTGGACATGTCAATTGGAACTAAATTTGAATTTTTATTTTGAATGTAAAGTGTTGCAATTTGGAAACAAGTATAATCTCCATTAAGACTCTGATCCTCAAAAGCTCTGGTTCCTGATTCTGAGCAGAGCACATCAGAGCAAACAGGAGTTGTAGTGGAAGAGGAAGCAGGGGCAGGGGCAAGACAAAGCATAGACAGGCCTGCACTAGCCCAGCTTAAAGTTTTTTGTTTGCTAAGGAACAGTTGAAGGGAAGTTCCAAATTAGCTGATTGCTGGTTAACTGAAAGGGAGTGGCCTGATCAGCCAGCAGCAGCTGTGTGGGTGGGGTGATTCATTCTGGTTCCTGACTCTGAGCAGAGCGGAGCACATCAGAGCAAGCTGTCTCAGCTGGTCTAGGTCCTCTGGAATATAAGCAGCCAAGCGACCAGGGAGTGAGCGACCAGGAGTTCACCTTAATCCCCCCAGCCCCTGCATGTG